AGAAGACTATAATAGTATGTCAGCAACACTATAATTGCTATATCCAGTACCGATGAGGCCTTTCATATAATACCAGAGCTTTCTCAGACTCGTTGCGATATTGATCTTTATCTGTCGGTTAAAATAGTAAGTTAGTATAGCCAAGGATTTCAAGCATTCTTATGTGAAGAGTTTGGTAAATTAAGTATTTGATGTCTCACTTTTTAGGGAGAGGGACGGTTTAGTATAAACTACAACACATATTATCGTTAACAAAATGTAATTTCAATTAATATCGTATGCACGTTAATGTTTTGTTAGGTTCAAATTTATTTCATTTGTAATTAATTCATTTATTATATCAGGTCTCTTTTTTTTAAACGTCTACAGATATCATCATTAATATAACGTAATTAAATTGATATTTTCTGTAAGTTAGTGGTTTGTTAGGTTCAAATTTATTTCATTTGTAATTAATTAATTTATTATATCAGGTCTCCTTTTTCTCGACATCTACAGATATCATCATTAATATAACGTGATTAAATTGATATTTTCTGTAAGTTAGTGGGTTGTTAGGTTCAAATTTATTTCTTCTTTAGTTAATGTGTTGTCCTTCTTTGGGTCAATGCTACGGCGCCAACATCCGGGGTTCGTATCCCCGCGGTGGACAAATCGCAAATAGACATCGAGTGTCTTTACACTGCCCCCATTGACACAGCGGTATGTCTGCGGAATTACAACGCTAGAAACCGGGTTTTGATACTTGTGGTGGGCAGAGTACAGATAGCCCATTGTGTAGCTTTGTGCTTAATTACAAACAAACAAATCTTTGCGCTAAAATAAAGAAGTGAGTTGACTTATATAATATTTCTGTCGCACACATCTTTAGGATTTTTTTAGAATGCGACAGCTATTATTTATCAGGTACAAAATATAACTTAATTTATTGTATTTATTATTTGCTAGGTCCAAATTTAATTCAGTTCACTTTTATTTATTTTATTTGTTATTTCAGGTCTCACTTTTCAGAATTATTACAAGATGCAATTTCAATTAAAATTTTATGTAAAATAATGCTTTTTTTGTGGATTATTTTAAAATACAACAGGTATTAACGTGTACGAAATCTAATTTCAATTAATATGATATTTTATATACTTTGGTACTTTATAAGGTGCAAGTTTAATTGATTTCTTGTTAGTTAGTATATTTAATATTTTAGGTCTTACTTGTGTCTGGGCCCCCCAGTGGCACAGCGGCATGTCTGCGGACATGCAATGTTAGAAACCGGGTTTCGATACCCGTGGTGGGCAGAGCACAGATAGTCCGTTGCGTAGCTTTGTGCTTAATTTGAAACAACAACTTGTTTCTTGACTACTTTAAAACAAGATCTCAAATAGGTAAAGAGATGGAGCTGCGAGCTAAAAGTTTGTACTCGAAATAAACTCGGAGCCATTCTATGATCCGCTAAAAATGATATGTATGAAGATGCACAAATGTGACTTTCAATGTTTTGTATAAATTAATGCTTTGAAAGACTAATTTACTACGCTTTTAACCAATTTATTTGTTATTTCAGGTCTCACTTTTTTGGGATTGCTGTAAAATGCAACAGATATAACCTTGTAAAAAATGTAATTTCAACTTAATTCATTTTATTTAGGTTTTTGTTAGGCTGAAATATAATATATTTCTATTGTTGGTCTGGTATTCTGATATATATATAAACTTAAAAAGCAACCAAATTGTTCGTCTTAGGGTGTGGTTATAGTAATTGTTATACTTGGTTCTACGTAGGCCTACTTCAACAGCATCTTTAAAATAATATATATCGATGTATAATTATGTATAGATGTGGTTATAGTAATTGCTATACTTGGTTCTACGTAGGCCTACTTCAACAGTGTCTTTAAAATTATATATATCGGTGTATAATTATGTATGGGTGTGGTTATAGGTGTGTGCGTATATAAAATGGTACACATATGTGTCATCTAGTGTGTAATATAATATTGAAAATTTTGAAATAAAGAAAACTGAGAAAACACTATCTTCCCTTCCATTTTTAGGCTTAGTCAGCTGCACAAAGCGTTTCTTGCTTAAATTTCAAAACTAGAAGATTTCTTTCTTTCAAGTTTGGATGGACATTTGCTCCATTTCTTTTTCATTCAAAAGTAGTTACATTCACTCAATACTTCTGGTTTTGTCCTTAATATTTCTGATCTTGTTGATAAGAAAGATAAATTTTTAACTAATGAATAAACTGTCCTTTTAGTACTGAATATTAATCTTTTCGACCTGACCGTTAGTTACAGTCAACTGTTTTCCAATCGTGTAATTATAAGTAGCCTACATAAAATAGTGTTTTTTCGCTATTAACCCAGTCTTTGCGTAGGCTCTTTGGATTACTTTGCTGACTTTAAAAACAGCGCAGTCCAGTAAATCCTCCATTGGCCATAATTATTCCTTGTAAGATACTAACAAAGCCTTCCTTGTCACGAGATAAACGGTTTGATCCTGATCTTGTGAGAATAAGTTAGTATGTAGTTAAACGAGCACAAGCTTATAATGTTAAAGCCACGCGGAACAAATGTTTTTATTGTTGCTATCTGTTCATTTCTAAATAAATGCAAACAAGATGGAAATGGCCTGCTTTTATTAAGCTGTAGAAAATGTATACATAGAAGAATCGATCTTTGGTCGTATAGCAGCAAATGGCGCTTGTCACGTTTTATTAAAGACCTTTTTCTACTTCCTGTAATCCTCCCTCTTCAGACCATTGCAGAAAAGACAAGTCCTATAATATTTTATAGATAACATGAAATCAATAGAAAATCATTAAAAGACAAGATAAAGGAGATACTTTAAGATGGATGTCTCTAGATTGAAAATTTATGTACTTGGTATACGTATTTTAAATCTGCAAGACTAAAACAAGAAATAAAGAAAGTGAAATAATGTGTTACCATTACGATCACGCCTCTTGTGAAATTTAATGAATCAGTTATATTTATTGAGTTCTGGGTCTACCTGCTACGGCTATATCAGAGCGATGTTTCGATTTTCTGTCGCATCTCTTCTCCATTTTTAATTACTTGTTAGAGGGATGCTACAGTAAGTTTCAAACGTTAACTGGATGTTACAAGTAGGTAATGTACAGTCTATATTAATTGACCACGTTTAAATTTCAAGAGCTTATGCTTGCTGGGTAAATATAAGTCTTAGAAAAATGTAACTATGAGAACAATGAAAATCCAATTTTTATAGTATAGTAAGACTAGAGGGAAAGCAACTAGTCGTCACCACGCACCGCCAACTCTTGGGCTACTCTTTTACCAACGAATAATGGGATTGAGCGTCACATTATAACGCCCCCATGGTTTAAAGAGCGAGCATGTATGGTATGACGGGGATTCAAACCCGCGACCCGCAAAGTCGAGCGCCCTAATTACCTGGCCATGCCGGGTCGTGTGGAAAGGAAGAACGTTTTTGACGAAGAATGACCTAGGACATTTCTAAAGAAAGATAACCTCAGATATTTCCAGTTAAGGATGACCTCATACATTTCTTCTAACGAAGGATGACCTCTAATAATCAGACTAAAAGAAGCAAAGACTAACCAGTTATTTACGACTTTTAGTCATGTATTTCAAGTAAGCATCAGCGAATTACCTGTAGTAAGCGATAGATACTTTGATTTCAAGTTTGTTCCTCGCGCTTTCTTGCTGGAAAAATAAATTATTTTATGAATTGGATATACATAAATATATATTGCTAAATACGACACTGAGCGAAGGGTGAAATAATCAGAGGTGTAGTGGGGTGGGAATGCGTGAACACAGCATACCTGTACTTATTGTTAGCCAGAATGACGTACCACCACTATTTCTAACAAATCCCAACTTTTACGGTTATGTAGTAGATTTCACGTTCCGAATTTACACCAATGTAAATGATACCCGGAAATATTTTCATTTTTAGGCCAAAAAAACTATAATTTTTTATAATATTTAAGTGTAAACTAGCTATTTATTTTGTTAATCTGAACAAAAGCTGGACTTCAGTTTTTGAGTAAGCTGCCAAGTAATATATAAAAGTCCTTACTAAACGAGAATTGTTTTTCATAAAATATGAAACGCTCTGAATCACGTTTCTTAAAGCTAATAATGATAACAACTTCCGCACCAATGTAATACAGTTCAATGCATGAATTGTATTACGTTATTTAGACTTTGTACTAGTAGGGGGCCTATGGTGATGGTAAAGTATAGAGTAAGGAAAACAACACTATTTGTTGGATCGATGGCGCGTGTTTGGAGAATAGCTAGAATTGATGTAGGTCCCTAATAATCTGGGCATAAAGTGCGCAAAGTAGTTAAAAGATTGTTCCATAACCTTGAAAGTTGAAAGATTATATCATCGCGAAGAAATGGAGTATAGGATTATGACACGCGCTAACTTTGATTTGCCGGACCTAAACAAAATAATATGGACATACCCAGCTACGTGCAGGGCAGTGTGCAATCGCATTAGTGAGCCCGTGCACTCAAGTGAATGAGACCCAGACAAAGGAATTAACAGACTCAACTAACAGTTTGCCTGATTACATTACAGGATACAATAGTTTCATTGAGTAGAGCCTAGAAAACTCAAGAAGTAAAACAAATTAACCGTTTATTACATCACAGAGGAAAACTATTAGTTTGTGCTAACTTGTCAACAAATAATACAAAATACTCCCAAAGTAAAATAAAACGAATAGCCTCGTGTGACGTCAGTGGTGTCACTGTGAAAGTGTTTTACGTTCTCAAAAGATGGCGACAATTCACCAGTCGAGACGTAACTCCAGAGAGTACGGTGTAAATAAACTGCTTTAATATAAATAGTGTTGACTTCTAACGATTAAACGGTAATATTCACGCCAATCGAAATACATATATATAGAAAATATGAGAGCATTTAGAATTGACAGAGCATTTGCGCGTACATTTCCGTGTCATTATATAGATGTTTGTGTGTGTGAGAAACGTTTGAATACTTACTCGATTAAAGATGTATCAGAGAACATCTGGATATCTTTACAGGTGGTAATGATCCAGCCTTTAATAGAAGTTTGAAATAACTTGATAGAGAAACTAAATCACTTTCATTAAGATACAAACACTAACTGATGAAACTCTTAAATAAATTGTAAAGAACAAAATGGTCGACATAAATATGAATCTCAATAAAAGAAAACATATCATTTTGGAAACGCTACAGAGATTCTAAACTATGCGATATATTTGAAGAAGTATTACAAGAAGAAACACCCCACAAGTTCTGAAGAAAAACCAACAACGATCGTTTGATAGAAGAAATTAATATTTGAAAAAGATTCGAAGGAGAATAAATGAGAATAGAAATCAAGTGAGACCTGAACATCAAAAACAAACATATGCGAATATTAGATCAATTGAAAAAATATTTAAATAATAATGAAGTTAAAGATTATTTAGAAAAACTGAGAAAACTTACGGTAAATAATTTTGAAAAGAAAAAGAAAAGTGGTTTTGAGAATATGGGGAAATGAAGAAAAGGGAATATTAGAGTACTATCAAAAATGAAACTATAGCTATCATGATACGAGAAACAAAAGTAGAAAGAAAATGTAAGAATCAGTGAAAGAATAATCTTAGGAATATTCTAAATAAGATATTAAGAAGAATCATAACCATTATGGATAAGAAATCAAGAATTTGGAAATGACAAAAAATTGCAACACAGTGAATAATAGGACAGATTATAAATAAACAATGCATTAGCGAGATTTTAATCAAGGATAAAGTCAAAGAAAGACAAAGTAGATCTCTCACTCACGAATATAATAATAGAATACATCAAAACTTTCTCCCCAGTGGCACAGCGGTATGTCTGCGGACTTACAACGCTAGAATCGGGGTTTTGATACCCGTGGTGGGCAGAGCACAGATAGCCCATTGTGTAGCTTTGTGCTTAATTACAAACAAACATCAAAACTTTCCCCGGTGAGATAATTAAAAGTCTTAAATCTGTTAAAGATGAACTTAGATCAAGATATAATAGAACCATAATGTTTAGAGACAACAAGGGACCTATTGGTCCATCTAGGCTGACCCATCCTTTAAACTAAACTAAAACTAAAAAAAAAAGCCTTAAAGCCAGTTCTTATCATTTATATAGTTATTAAGCTTCCTCTTAAACCCACTTTAATTTACTGCCTCCACAACATCTGAAGGCAACCCATTCCAAAAGCCAACCATCCTGTTAGAAAAATAAAACTGTCCGAGATGAAAATGACTCCTACCCTGCCAAAATTTGCATGTCCTCGAGTCCTACCATTCTCACCATTAAGTATGAAAAAAAAAGATACATCAACTTACTTAACAGTCTTAAACACCTAAATCATATCCCTTCTAACTCTTGTTTTTCAAGAGAAAACAACTCCAGAACTCTTAACCTCTTCTTGTATAACAACCTATTCATCTCAGGCACCATTCTAGTAGCTCTCGTCTGAACCCAACAATTCAATGTCTTTCCTAAAGCAAGGATCCCAAAACTGAACACTATACTCCAAATGTGGCCTAACCAGTGACCTATACAATGAAATTATAACTTCTTTAGACTTGTATTCA